TATATAAAAGGGGGGGCCGGGAGTTTCAGTATATTATAATTATCATTAATAAGCTAATTAAAATACGGTACTATATCCCGGTAGAAACGCTAATAATTAACGAATTTATTAAATGTTTTATAAATAAGGTTTTTACCCTTTACAGCCTACTTAATACCATTATATTAAATAGAGGCTCCTAATTCGTATTATAATCCTAGAGGGTATTGTCCGCGAAGTTGGGTATTATATTACGACCCTTCTTAGCTTTCTACTAATAAACTAATAAATAAACGGAATATATTAATATAGAGATAGAATATTACCTTCGTACTTATATAAATTAGGCCCAAAATAATTAAATTAATCAATTACATTCTATTAAATTAATAAGTAATAACGTAAAATCGGATATACTAGGCGTTTCCCCCTTCTTTACTAATTATAATTTTTGTTTACAAATAGGCTTCGAATTAATATAACCCTACCCCCCCCGGCCTTTCAGACTTATAATATATAGAGTATTTTAAGGCTAGTAAAATTGCTAAACAATTTAAGAAATCCTTAATAAAGTTATAGTAATAGTAAAATGTATATAGGCGTACTACGAAGAAAATACTAATAATTATCGCTCCAACGTTTTATAGTACTATCCCGGAAATAAAGTATTCTTTAATACTATAAACCTCGCTACCGGCCGCCCTAAAATAAAGTTGTTGCCCTTATAGGAAGGGCCTTTCGAAATAATTATAATTAATAATTACTAAATTATATTCTACCTACTATTAAATATAAAGTACAGGTATATTTTCCATATGAATATAATATACTTATAGATAGAAGTAAATATACTAGAATAAAATAATATATAGGACGTTCGGGCTAATTAGGGGAAGGTAACAAAATATATAAATAATACTAAAGATATTATTAAGTAGTCCTTCGAAGGAATTAATACTTATTATTTTGAGAATAGTAAATAGGAGTACTACGTCCTTTAAGGTAAACCTTACGTACTAATTTGGGAGCCGGTTAATAATATAGAGTATTATATTAATATCCTCTATAAGTTTTATATTAATAACCCGGAATCCTCCATCTTTTTATAATAGACTATTATAAAAAAGAGGTATAAACGCGCCACCTATATTCCAAATAAAGCTTATAATAATATAGGACTAGAACTATTAATAATGATATTAACTGTAAGATAATTACTTTAATATATAATACCGGCCGCGGATACCTTTAAAAAAGTTATAAGCCTAGTAATAGAGGGCTTCGAATCTTTAAAGGAAGAGGATTAGTAATTTTTCTTCCATATATTTTAGCGCCCGGGGGTATTTTAAGCCCGGGGTAATATAATAGGGCTAACCTATAATTATTATCTAATTATAGTATTACTACAACTATAATTACTAGTTAATATACACTCTCCAAGTAATTAATCCGTTTAACTTTACTACCGTTATAACGGCTATTAGGCCTACGCAGGCCCCCTAATTGGCTACACACTCCCGGAGGCTCCGGTTACGTATATTAAGGATGCGGTTCATCTTCGCCTATATAGCATGAGCCGCTACGTATAGATTCTATAATTTTTCTTGGTCCTTATACAATTAAACAAGTTATATTCTACCCTATATGTTTAGTATTGCCTTGCCCCGTGACAAGTTAGGTACACGGGCCGGTCAGCTATTGACAGCCGTCTTAGCGCCTAAATACACTGCGTACTATTGGGTACATCCTTTGGATACGGCGTCCAGGCTACATTTCTAGTCTTGGCATTTCTAGTACCTTCAATACCTACCGCATTTCGTGTATTTAGCTGGAAGTTCTATGCTAGTAAGGCACAGACTTCCCTCTTCCTCCTTGTTGGCTATTTTAAGCTCTTTTTAAGGCCTACCTGCGTGTTTACCTTGTAGATTCCTTATACTTTATTATTAAAGAGTATATTAAGTACTTTTCATTATTTTAATGGGTCGTTAGATATTATTCTAGTTATTTTCTCTTCTTTATAAGTAAAGTATAATTATATAAGGAATAGGGAGAAGGTCGAGGTAGATCCGTCCACTTCAGTTATTGTATATTTTTGTATTTAGTATTAAGAGTAGTAATAGGGGCGGCTTTAAGGTAGTACTAATAATAATACTAGAAGTAGTAGTAGCTATTTGAGTGGTTATTTGAGCGGGCGTTTGGAGGTTGCTTTATATTCCTTAGATAGTAAGCGGTATACTAACGGCGGCTCTAACGGTATCGGCGAACGCTATACTTATAAATATACTTCTAATAAAGTTGTTCTTCTCTATTTATTAGGCATCTACCTATCGCGCTGCTTCTTCTTTTACGTTTAGTATAGTGTATTACTACCCTTACTATTATAGTAGTAGTATAATAATAATCTTGTTCCCTATACTATATAACTATAGTGCCTTTTTGGCATGGGGTCCTTCTCCAGTTCCCTGGAGGGGAAAACCGTACGGCGTTAAGCGCCGCCGGATAAAAACCCCCAACTATATCTTAATCGTAAATTTTACGCTGCTTCTACTTTACTTATAGCTATAACGGTTCTTACTTACCGCTATAGCAAATTAATTTCGTTTTTCCTACTATTACGTTATCTTAATACTAGAATAATAAGAATAATAGGAATAGGATTTAAATTTAGAATACTACTTCCCTTTACTATCTTTCCATTCTAATATCCATTGCCCTTTCCTCCGCCTTTTCCCTACTACCCTATCCTATCTTCTTATTTATTATTCTACTTCTTCGCTTCTTTATTTTATTTACAATTACCTCCGCCCTAGCCTTTTATTTTCTACCCTATAATTCTACCTCTATTTATAATAATATAAAAAATTTTTCCTTCCTTTACATAATCCTCCCTATAGCGCCCCTTCCTAACTCCTATCTTCCTTCTTCCCTATTATAATTCTTACCTAAAATAACTTCCTCTAACTGTTATTGCCCTAACCCGATTAATTTAATTTCCAATATAGAAGTCTTTTCCTTTAAACTATCCTTCAACCTTACGTTCCTAGCGTGCCTAAAGCCCGCGGCCCTCGCCTACTTCCTTCGTAGTCTTCTTAACTTTATAATTCCTTAGAATCGGTATAATTTCTTCCCTATCCTTCTAATTTATACGTTAATTTGATTAATATTATTCGTAAAATTCCTTACTTATACTATACTTTAGATTTAGCTATTTACCCGAAGACCGGTAATAAATTTACTTTTATTAATACTTTTTATATAATTATTATTAGTAAAGTTTATTATATTTCGGCGTTTAGTAGGTTCTTTATCCTCCTATTCCTTTCCTTATCATTATTTAATTCCTATATTATAATTTCCAATACTTAAAATACAATTTATATCTATACTACTAATAAATATATATTGGACGCTCCTATTAATTTTTATAACGCCTATAATATTATTTAGACGGTAATTGTTATTATATTATCGGGTAATTAATTTAATTTCAATTAGAAATTTAAATCCTTCATTTATATTATTAATAATTTTACCGATTATATATATATACACCTAAAATATAACAATTTCCCTATTAATATTTATATTTTTTTCTACCCTTTATATTTTAATATTACTAACCTCTTATTAAAGGGTTATTATAAATTAATTATAAGGAATATCTATTATAACTATACCCCCTCCTTCTTTAGTAATAATATTATAAATCCAATTTAGATTATTTCTAACTCTAATAGTATTATTATTACTTTTATACGTATTATATCCGGTAATAGTATTATTACTACTTTTATTTATATAGTTTTTAGTATTAATAGTAGTAAATCTACTCTTAGTAGTCCGATAGCCGTCGATACCCCCGGTCGCTACGCCCTAAACGAAGATTGGGTTTAATAGCGCTATAAGGTTATTACGAACCAAGTCCGTATAATAATATTATTCGAATAGTTCTTTAAATATAATTAAACGTTTTATTAAATAGTATTTTAGTTTTTACTATAATTATAATTTAAATAATATCTATAGTTAGTATAATTATCCCCTCTTTATTCCTATATTTTATTATTTTAATATTACTAATATTTTATTTTTTTCTTAGGAATATTTTACAAATTCTTTACACTACTCCTCTTCTAATTCGATTATTAAACAATATTCTTTTAATTTTCTTAATTTTAATATTTAAGAAAGAATCCTCTTAATTTTATTTCCGTTATTTAAATATTCTTAGAATTCTTCCTTTATAAGTAGCTAATTTTCGGAATGCGATTAAAAGAGAGTATTTACATTAAAGTAATTTAGAATTATATAAGTAAAAGTCTCCTTTTTAAGCTTATATATATAGATAAGTATTAGAACGTCCGGTATTTTCCTCTAGTAGAGGAAAGTCCGAAGGCCAATAATTTGTATCCTAATTTAAATTAGGAGGCAGTTTTTTATTTTAATGAATAAGTATAATTTATTATTTTCGTCCTCCAACGTCTATTACTTCCCTTCCTTTTTTTTATATCAATTATATATTATTAAATAGTTTTTTTATTAAATTTAGGGGTAAGGTTGGTAATAGTAAATTTATATTGCTAATTTAATTTAATTATTGCTATTATTAAATAGTAGTTATAGTACAATATATATTTTTAATTTGTTACATCCTCTAATTATTCCTTTCGGTTGGCAGTTATCGGTTCTAGGATTTACAATAGTAGTAGTTAGGTCCTTAATTCCGAAGGGGGATTAGTTATTATTATTAATAATTCTTCCGTTAGTACTTACGGTTTAGCTTACTAAACTTTAACTATATTATTTTTTAATTTATTAACGGATAGTTAATCCTTAGCCTATTAGGTTTAAATATAATTGAGACGCCTATGCATTTAGAGCTCGAGCGTTGTCGTGGGCCGAAAGGTGACATGGAAGAATCCCCGCACCAAAGGTCGCGTGGTCTATGGGCCTACCCAACGCCGCAAGCGAGGAAGGCGCGGCGTATCTATCTATAATAGGCCAGAATGCAAAAAAAATGGTCACTCTGTGATCCGTGCGTTCTGTCTTGGCAGTCCTAAAAAGGAAAACTTGGCGCCAAGCAGGACACGGTTTGAATAGCAGAGCGAAAAAGCCACTTTTTCCTTTGCAACGAAGATTCCTCCTCCATTATCGCGTGCATCGAAATGCATATAGTGTCAAAATGACGAGAAAGAAAAGGCGGTCATTTTGGTACCGGTTGTATTGTGGTGCACGCGATGGTTGTTGAGGAAAATGTAAAAGAAGTTAAAAATGAGGATTTTGGTTGCGACCGTAGCTTAAAAATAACCAAGTCCCAGAAATGACCAAGTCCTAGAAATGATTAATGATTTGGGGTGGTATATGGGAATATATATATTGGTTTTCAGTAGTGATTTTTTTCAAAAATTTTCAAAGTATACAGGATCAGGGAAGTACTTTCTAGATTGAGCAAACCTGGACAGTTAGTGTGGAAAAAGAATAGAAAAAGAAGGAGATCGAATATGAGGAAACAGGATAGGAAATCAATAAAACATCAACCTTTCGTAAAGCAGAATAATTAATTTCTAGCTCTTTAGTAATTTTTAGTTATATAAGATTAGTTTTTAATAGTCGCTAATTATTTATTTTTATTTGTTTAGTATATTGAGTGATCCTTTATCCTTTTTAGGGAAATGTTTATTTATATCCCTATTTATATTTGAAAAGAAAAATATAGAAAGATCCAATAATTACCCTTATTTTCCGGCGAAAATTGAATATTAAACTATTCAATAAATACGTAACTCTAATAAGTCGTATCTAACTTAATACCTCCTATCTCAATTATCCAAAAAGATTTAAAAATCATCTACTACTCTACCTAATTAAATAATTAAGAATTATAATCCTTATACATTATACTGGTTGTAATAGTATTAGTATTATTATTATAGTTTTTTCGCTATTTCAAATTAGTAATAAAGACGAAATAAGTATTAAAACTCTGCGCTAAACTAATTAAAACGAATATAGGGAATTTATAACTTCCTATCTTCGTTGAGGTTTGCCCGATATTTATTAATAATATTTAATTAATTATTATAAAAAGGCTTGAATAACCTTATTTTAGAAAAGAATAAAAATCCTTAGTACCGGATACTTGCTACAATCCGGGGCCCTCAATAGTAATCAATATACAATTACATTAGTAGCCGTACTACGACTGGCGATAATATAATTAATTAGTAATTACCCAATTATTATTTAGATATAACGTCGGAGTACGAATAATAATATAATTAATTAATAAGAAAGATATATAAATAAATATCTAAGCGATAATAATTAAATATAAATAAATATAAATAATAAATAAGTTACTAAATAGTAGTAATTTAATTATATAACCCAATAAATAAACAAATACTTAATTAATAGTACTTGAATAATAATAAAAATAAATAATTAATAGGCTACTTAAATAGTAGTTTAATTAAAAGATTATTTAAGAATAATAAATAACGAAAGAATCCGTCGATAATTAGGGCAAATATTAGTATTAGGCCTTTAGGGACCGCTATCCTTAAATTAATAGTATATAGCCCTTACCTAAGTATAGAAAAATTAGACGGCCCTTGGACCCTTTTTTTTAAAAGTTTGTAATTAATTTTCTAAAGGGAAGGGTACTAACTATTATTTCCGAATTCCTCCTTCGTAGAATATATCGACTATTACTATTAATAGATTTTCGGGATTGTAATTATTATTATTATTACGTTTTAGAAAACCGAAAAGAAGTAATTAATTACTATAAATCCTTATTAAAAGGGCTTTAATAACGATATTATTAATGTAAATAGGAATTACTTTTTACTAATATTAATAATAGAAGTAGTAAAAAGGAAAAAAATAGAGAATAAGAACCGAAGAAGTTCCTTTTATTTAGGAAAAGAAAGAGAAAAGGAATATTAGAAGGATAAAAAAAGGAATACTAATAAAAGATTTCTAATTAGAAAAGGTATATAAATATTTTACTAGAAGAAAAATAATTAAAAGAGGAATAAAGATCTTTAACCGAGAAAAAGAAAAGAAAGGGGGGTAGGACGAAAAATAAAACGAAGATAAATATATAAATAGTATAAACAATACTAATAGGATCTAGAATAACTGGAATATTTTTACAATCTTAGTTTTAAATACCGATTAAAAAGTATTAAATTAATTTCCTATATTAGTACTAGAATTATTCTTATTGTTTTTCTTAAATCCTACTCTTCTTTCCTTTATTCCTACGTTAAAAATTACCTTTTTTCCTTTTTTAAAACCTAATTAATCTCCAACGCTTTTATTTATCCTATTAAGAAATTTATTGCTAATCCCCTTAGAGAATCTTTTACCCAACCTAAATAGAGAAGACCGCTATTAAATCCCTTATTACAAGGATAGTAGCGGATATAATTAGCCTACTATTTAGAACCTACCGCTAAACCTACCTAATTCTATTCGTACCCTATATTTATATACTTTATCTACCCCTCCGCTTAGCGTTCGAACCCGGCCTCCGCCTCCTTATATTATTTTTTTACGATTTGTCTAATCGCTTTTAGGATTTTATTATACCAAATTAGAAATTAATTATTCCTAAGGCTTTAAATTTAAATAGTATCCTTCGAACCCTTAAAACTATTATTCTATTACCCTTACTTCTACCCCTTTTAATAATCGTCAATATCCTTCTTTAAAATTATTAGGATTAAGTATTATAATACTTAAATAGTCCGAATAGCTATAAGAGCCTAAATATAAATTATAGTAAAATTTAAGTATAGACCCGTTTAAAGGTTTATCTAATATATATTTAGCGTAAATATTAATAGGTAAAATTTTTATAGTTTCCTTCGTAAAGGATTGTACGCCCAATATACAATTTAAAAGGAAGAATATATTTATATACTTAGAGGAATTTAATAATAGGGTTTAAAGCTATTACTTCTCTAATAAAGCTAAATTGAATATTTAGTACTAGTAGTATATACTAAACGCCCGAAAGATTTGTAAAAAAATAGCAAAGGACACTACTAATAAGGGTACTTAGATATAGAAAGAATTCTATTGTTTTCTAAAACGAGAATTCTTAGTATTGGACTTTAATTAAATAAATAATAAAACTACTTTATTAAAAATCTTCTATAGTAAATTAATTCCCTATAATAGAAAGAAAATTATTAAAATAATACTTTAGTATTTAATATTTTTAATAAAGCAACTAGACAAGGAGAAGGATTTCGCTTAGTCTATAGTAATATATAATTTCTATAAGAAATTTACGAAGAGGATTAGGTAAATAATTATAATAACTATAGGTTTTAAAAAAAAAATCTATTAAATAACCTAGTTATAGTTCTATACCGAAGTAACTAAAGCTATTTACAAATACTTTAACTTCGAAAATAATATTTATATTAATAATAAAGTGGCTATTTTATTAAACGATAGTTTTAATATAAATCGGATTAAAAAGAAAATATTAATAATTATTAAAAAAAGAAATAGCTTAATCGGATTAAATAGCGATTCCGACTAGCTTTCTTATAAGAAAATTCTTTCGATAAATTAAACTATTACTTTAATACCTACTATTTCCCACTTAGCTAAGAAATTAGATATTAATAAAATAACCGAAGAATTTAACTAAATAAAGTTTATATAATCCTAATTCAATAAAAAATTAGTAAAAAAATAAAAGGAGGAAATTTAAATTAACTATTTATTAATAACTAATTAGGGAAGCGCTACCAATAAAGGAGGAGGATATATAGGCGGTTTTTTTATAAAAAATAAATAAAAAGGCGGTAAAAGAGGGAATTAAAGCCGTAAAAACTCCTACTAAATCCGTTACTACTAGTATAATAGTAATTATTATTAGAATTAATATTAAAAGATAGTAAATAATATTTAAAAAAGTAAATTAATAGTCTTTCAACCTTAGGATCCTATATACACTTCCTAAATAATTATCGCTATTAGTAATAAAGAAGATTATAACGACTTTATTCCTAATAATTTACTAATTTTAATTATTAAAAATAGGAAGTTAGGATTTTTAACGCAATCTTAAATAATAATTTATAGGATATTTCCCGAATATAAAGCTATCTTCGATTATTAGGAGAAAAATATTTAAATATCAAAGAAAAAATACTACTTCGAACCAAAATTCTCTTTACTACCCAACAATACCCACGGCCGATAATAGTAATAGAATAGTAGTACGAATACCTCTATAAATATAATAGGTACTAATTTATTAAACTACTATTATATAATTAATAAATTAAATGTTACTTAAGAAGTATACCGGAGATCTCCAACCGAATATAAAATCGTTATAATCCGCTAAACGCCCGTAGAATATCCCTAAAATTTCGGTAACTATTTTATAAATTAATTCTATATTATTAAAGATTATCCAATCTAACTATTATTTAAAGGATAAATACTTAAGGAAATAGAAAATGTATTAGAAGAATTTAATCTTACTATTATAGGGCTATTATTACTTCTAATTAATAGCCTACTAAATATACTCCCCAAGGATATACTGAAATTAGAAAGCGATATTATATTTATTAGATAAATATTTTCTTCCTTACGCTATATAAAAGCCCCTATAAATTCCTCTATACAATTTAAATATTAAAATCCTTCTATAACTCTTATAGAAATACTATACAAATTTAGGGTAGATTAGGCACAATTCCTTTAAAAAATATAATTTTTAAATTATAAAATTAAAAATACTTATTAAAGGATAATTAATATTATAATTAATCCGAAGCTATTTAATTAAAATACCAGTATAAGAGAATTTAGTAAATAAATTATAAACCTTGCAGGAGAAATATCCTTCCCTAACCATCTAATTAAATAGCTATAGTAATTAAATACTACTAACAATAATACTACTATATTTAAAAATAATCTACTCCAACCCACTTCCCTAAAAATCAACCAAATACCTCCAATAAACCGACCAACAAAAATCCTTAAACCGACTATAGAAGATAAAACAACTAATTTACCAACCCCCGATTCCAATAAAGAAAATACAAAACTTAACGCTTCATTTATAAAGCCTACTAAAATAATTAATACCAACGCTATTACGAAGGAGGCTATCCAACGGGTAAAAGAGCAA